TCCAGATGAACAGAATCAACTTTTGGAGCCATACAATAATCACTTGTTATAGTACTCAGGTTACTTCTTTGTTTTTTGTTAATTGTGCACTTTGTTATGATTAACATTACCATTGTTTAGAAACTATACTTAAAAACTATACTTAAAAATCTTACTGTCATGCTTCTGAAGCAAATACAACTGTCAGGCAAGCAGCAACCTCCAGGGCTGCAAAATGAGAGCCAACCCAGAAGTGCCAAAAACTTTAGTTCCTCTAGTGGACACTTGGGGCTAGCTCCATGATAAGATGCCCAACTTTATAGCATTAAACGCTTGTTTACTAGATACTAAAATGTTCTTGGCCTTAATGGATAAGTCCCCAACCTTTATGACAACTCCTCAGGGGGTGAGAAGTTGTCATGCTCCAGTATTCTTTCACCTGAATGCTGGATTTTGGGAATAGCAGATGAAATCCGCTTATTGGAGCAACCAGTATATTTATTTTTGGTGTCTTTCCAAGCATTTTAATGGACGTTTCTGACAAATATTATGGCTTGTTTTACACAAAAGTTTGTGCATTTAGTTTTGGTGGATGAAATTCTAGTGATTTTATTAGTCTGTTTACTTGTGCGGATGCAGCTTGCTAACAGAGCTTGCTAACCTCCAAAAAACAATAATGTCTAACTGAAAAAAGGCAACACTGTGACAGCCAAAACACTAAACTAAACACTACATTGAACCTTGAAAATGCAGGTACCTAAGTCAACGGGCTATGTCACGGTGGCTAAACATCTGCCTTCTTTTATGTCAGTGCACTTATGTAGCTCAGTTTGGGGAGACGGCAGAATAAATAGCCTTTATGTCACGGAAGGATTAGCATCAGTTTGATTTTGTGGATGTAAAGAACAACGACAATAACAGTGAAATGTAACTGGTGCCAACTACTGGTGGTCCATTCCGTGCAAAATAATAATTTTAACTGATGAGCAAAAAGATTTTTTTTTTAAAGTGTCCTTTTTTGACTTCCCCCCGCAGTTGTTATGCAAAAAGGTAACTGTGATTAACCTAAGTTGTCTGTCCTTGTTCTTTCATCATTTTAACAAATTAAATGGCTTGTGGTTAAAGTTAGGGTTTGCTTCAATTCAATTCAATTCAATATGCATAGCACCAAATCACAACAATAGTCACCTGAATGCACTTTAATGTGCCATTCATGCAGATTAAAAAAAAATGACTCCAAAAGCAGAAAAATGACCCTCAATATTGCTTACTAGGGAAAGCAGTGGTTGTTAACCAAGACATGGCCGCAATTACTGCTGTTGCATGCTACAAACCTGCAATCTTGTTCTCTTTTAATGGTAGCTTATAAGATGGGAGCAGGTCTGCGATCACTCACAGTCAGCTACTGTCTCTAAAGAGACTGCAACAAAATGGACATAAAATAGCAATACAAAAAGGAATCAGTCTTTCATAAGTGTGAGATTGTTTGATTTGAGATTGAATGAGGTCAAGTTGGCAATTGCATGAATTCTGTTTGCAGTAGTTTGGCAATGAACTGTGAAAAATCAGCAAAAATTGCAAAATCTGTTGCTACTTGTTGTGAATCTGTTGGCATTTAGGCAGAAATTTATATTTAGTACTTACATTCAGAGTTCAGCTGGACTGTCATAGTTCCGACAAAGAAATTCAGCACTCTATATACAGGGAGTGCAGAATTATTAGGCAAGTTGAGGAATAATTTTATTATTGAACAACAACCATGTTCTCAATGAACCCAAAAAACTCATTAATATCAAAGCTGAATGTTTTTGGAAGTAGTTTTTGGTTTGTTTTTAGTTTTAGCTATTTTAGGGGGATATCTGTGTGTGCAGGTGACTATTACTGTGCATAATTATTAGGCAACTTAACAAAAAACAAA